CCCCACCCCTCCGTCCAGCAGAGACCCTGACCCTGACCGTGGGACGGCCCTCACAGGTCAGCAGAATCACCCCAAGGAACCCAGCAGATGCTGAGATTCTAAGAAATGCGACACGTGTTGCGCTGCGAGTCTGGTTATGAAGAGAGGCCCGGCCGCGGACCGCTGTTTACCCGGAGATCGTATCGCTGCCAGACTTCCTCCCACAGGATGAGATCCCAGGCGCGGGGCTGCTTCGAGGTTTCATCTCAGCTGGTACCTGCAGAAAGCTTGGAGCGGTTTTTCTGTTTAAAATGTTAGAAACAAACTCTCTTCCCTCCTCCTACACGATGCGCTTTATAAGACACCTTAGAGCCTCAGCCAACACACCCTGCAGGGCTAGAGGGGAAACGGAGAAACGGCAAAACGTTCCCCTTCCGTCTGCCGAGCACGGCAGAGGGTCTCACTGAGGGGACAGAAGACAGAGGTGCCTGGCCAGTCGAAGAAGTACTTGTGATAACAGTAATGGGCAGTCTGAATTGTCACCCCGTGCCGGGCAGTGCTCTAAGCCAGCGGTTTTCAACTGGTGTTCCGCAGAAGTTCATCCCACGTGCCCTGAGAGGACAAAGGTTGAAAAGCCCTGATCCACGCACTGTGGGTGGATAACTCATTTAGCTCTCAGAACAGCCCCAGCAGGAGCAAACTGTTCTTATCCCACTTGAGACGTGGGAACAGAGACTAAGCCGCTCGCCCAAGGTCACACAGCGGGCAGGTGAGTGGCGGTGCCAGGATTCGGGCTCGGGAGGCTGGGTCTGTGTGCTCCCGGTTCTCTCTGCCCTCTCCGTGTGTGAGGCCCAGGTCAGGGGCCACGGAGACGCTGTCACCAGTGGGTGGCAGTGTTGTCCCACGGAGCCTTCTGGGTAGCCCCGAGGGCTGGCACCTCCCTGAAAATGGATCGAGGTCTTTCACCGCCTTGCAGCCATTCCAGGCAGCCCCTAAATGGAATTTCTCAAGTTTCTGAAGGCAAAGAAGATTGACTGTCAGCTCATTTACTCCTCAGAGCTACACTGGGATATGGTGGTTGTCGGTGGTAAAGGAAACAGGCTCAGAGAGCGTGACTGGCTCAAAGTCACGAGCTACTGTTACACACCAGGTTGGAACCCAAGTGGTGCGGCTCCCCCAGGAAAGAGGCATTTGACCTCCACACCCCTGACCGCCCACGTCCAGCCCCAGGCAAGTGCACAGGTGAGTCAGCTTTAAAAAAACCACAAAAATAGCAACAAACCTACTACAGATAAACCAGGGAGCAACCGCTCACTTTTACAAAGTTTGCTGTCGTAAGTGAGTTCTTTTCAATAACTAGCTCCTCTGGCACAGGTCAGCTGGTTAAAAATCATTAACGGCTTCCCAGAAACACTGAGACAGGGAAACCAAGACAACGAATTAGGACCACTGCCAGCTAAAGATCAATTAGGGCCACGAAGCGTCTCTGGAACGACAGCCATAGTAGTAGAAAAACTCAATTTAAAAACTCATACGTGTTTTCCCTGTGCGTGGGCAGAGCCGTGGAAGGAGCGGGCTGGGCACGGTGTCTGGCCAGGGTCCCTGTGAGCAGAACTTGCCTCCCAGTCCCTCCAGTGCCACCCTGGCATCGCCTGACCCCCGGTCCTGTCGTCACCACTGGCCCAGCTGTGCACAGAGGTGTCTCACAGGTGGTCACAAATGGCAAAGGGGTGGCACACAGTGCCAGTGCTGTCCCTTCTGGAAGCACCCAGATGGTTGGCATGCAGAGGTGGGGCAGGGCTGAAAACCATGCTTGTTCCCAGAGGGAGTCACCTCCTGGGGGGAGAGGAGCGGCTGCCGCCGGACACAGCGCTGGGGGAAGGTGGGCAGAAATGGCCTCTCTCCTCCCCCCAGCTCGGCCCTGTCTCCAAGGACAAGCCGGGGGAGGGGCCGGGTGGGGCAGGCAGGAAGGCTGGGCCCTCAGGGTACCGAGTGGGCAGGAAAAGGGTGGAGAGGGCACTCGGAGGACAGAGAACAAGAGGCACAATGTCTCTTTCAAAGGTGGGTAAACTGAGTCATGGAAAGGAAACGTAGCATGTTTCAGATAAAGAAGGTGAGGCCCGCTCCCCTGTCTGGCCTGGAGGGGACCTTGAAATCTCAGGCACATCTTGTCCCTCAGGTGCCTTCCCAGTACGTCGCGACGATGCCACGTGGCCACGCTGGTTCTCCAGAAGGGGTGTGGTGCACTCGATCAGGTTTCCATGAGTCACCGGTGTGGGTGATGGTCCGGGTGTTGTGATTTCGGTGAATTCTCCGCACCCACTACTTGTGTCTGTCTGATTCATGAAGGTGACTCATCGGAGGAAGTGGACCTGAGCCTGGTCTACCAGGCGGCGTCCAATGGAGATGTCGGTGCGCTGACCGCCCTGATCCGGGAGGACCCCTCCGTCCTGGAGTCCTGTGACAGCGAAGGTGAGCACGCGGGCCTGCAGCCCGTGAACATCCTGCTCTGCGTGCTTAGGGCTGGCCTGCAGGGGTGAGCCGCGGTGGCGAAACCGCATCTCACAGGCCACGTTGATGCGGGAGGGACAGGACGAGCCTGGGGCTGGCTGAGTGCAGGGCCCTCGAGTTTCTTTAAATGAGGAACTTGGACACAGAGTTGCCGATTTTTTTTCCATCACCTCTTATAATGAGGCCGATTGATTTGGGTTCGTTTCCAGCTCCTTTGTGTGAATGAGAGCAGCTGGGCCGAGAGAAGGGGTGTGGAACAGGAGGCTGTTTATAGCGATGGGCGCGGGGACAGGGTGACTGTCAACGGCTGGGTGCGAGGACTCCTGCCTCTGAGAAGAGGGAGAAGAGGTACCTTTTTCTCCACTCTTTCTGCTTAAATACAACTAAAAATCCCGGTCGTCACGTAAAGAATAAACAGGGAAGCTTGGGAGGTGGAGATGAAATGACAGACTGGCCAGGACCCTGGTGTCGAGGAATAGCACAGGGGTGAGCTTCTTGGAGCTGAAGAACCCAGGAACCTAGAGGTGCAACAGGCACAGACCAAAAAAACGCCACCGCAAGCCTGCTCCCTCTAGCCAAAGAACCGGGAAAGGAACAGCCTGGCCAGACAGAACTTTTAGACGGTACTGGCTCTACTCCAGCCAAACACCACAAGCAAACAAACAAAACCCTGAGGATGGCCCAGCCCCACCCGTTCCAGCAGAGACCACGTGGGGAGCCAGGGCCTGCACCTCCACCTGGTGGGATGAGGTCCTCCCCCTACCTGCTGTGGTGGGGCCAAGACTCACTTTATAGCTACATAAAGCAATGGTATTGCTGAGGGATAGACACGTAGATCAATAGAAAAGAACAGAGAACTCAGGAGGAGACACACACAAATATGCAGAGAGGGAGGGAGGGAGG